GACAGCGCGGGTGCACTGATACACAACAAGGAACCCCGTATGGCTCGTTGGGCGGAACACTTTCAAGATCAGTTCAGCTGGCCCCCTGCTCCCTGACCTCTTCCTACTCAGATGATGAAGCACGAGCTATGGACGGTTAGTTTAGAGCCTCCGTTGGAGGTCGAGGTCCGAAACGCGATCACAGCCCTCAATCGTTTTCGTTCCGCTGACCTGGCTTCCCTGTCACCTACACTGTTTAAGGATGGAAGTGAGGTCCTCTTCAAAGCACTGACCTCATTATTCGAACCTATCTGGAAGGAAGTGTACTGGCTACTTGAAGCGAATCGATTATAGTGGCAATATACAATAAGGGCAGTCGCACAGACTGTTCTAACCACAGGGGTATTAGCCTAACGCCAGTTGTGACAAAATTTATGACCTCGATTCTCGTTCGTCGCCTCACTGCGGAATGGAAATCTCGGAGTAGGGAAGAGCAAGCCGGTTTCCGCCCAGGACGTGGCTGTATAGACCATAAATTTACTTTGCGGCAGGTGCTAGAGCAGCGTCACGCATACCGCAGACCGACAATAGCTGTGTTCCTCGATTTCAAGAGTGCGTTCGATTCAGTCGATCGATCGATTCTGTTCGAAATAGTTGCGCGGAAAGGTGTTCCCACGAAATATGTGAACATCCTTCGTGCTCTATACTCGAACATTACATGCCGCGTCAGGGTCTACGGTGTCCTGTCTGATAGCTTCCCGACCACAAGTGGCGTTCGTCAGGGTTGTCCGATTTCCCATTTTCGTTCAATTTCGTCGTGGATTCCATCATGGAGTGTTCCCTTACGGAATCTCACGATGTAGGCGTTGAAGTGCTGTCTGGTGAAAGGTTAGTTGATCTTGATTATGCGGGCGATATCGTCTTACTTTTCGACGATGTTGCGGCATCACAATCACGCCGGAATAGCCTGTCTAGAGTGGTCTTATTATTTGGTATGCGCTTTGCACCTTCAAAGTGCAAAGTGTTGCTGCAGGACCACCAGCCACTTTATAACCCTTTGACCCTTGCTAACGAGGAACTCGAGGTGGTTTATCAATTTACTTATCGTAGCAGCTGCATCAACTCATGCATTGCAAAAGCCAGAGCTGCCCTCTTGAACCTGCAGCATCTTTGGCGACAGAAGGGAATTTCCCTCCGTCTGGAAGGCCGTGTATACAAGGCCATAGTGAGGGCCGTTCTGCTCTATGGTAGTGAGACTTGACCCCTTCGGTCTGAAGATCTGAGGCGCCTTCAAGTCTTTGATCATCGTTGTCTGCGAAGCATTGCTGGTGTCGGATGGCACCAGCGTGTCCGCAACGATGGTGTGCGTAGGCGAGTACTAGGTGGTGATAATCATGCTAGCTCCCTAGAACAACAGATAGCACTGAATAAGTTGCGTTGGCTCGGGCACGTGCTACGTATGCCTGGTCACCGCTTACCTAGGAGGGCCTTGTTCAGTCTACCAGGTGTAGGGTGGCGCAAGGCTCGAAGTGGACAGAAGTTGACTTGGCAGCAGGAAATGAAGTCACTGACGGCCAAACTGGGTGCCGTTGGTCTGTCTCGTCTTCCCGGCTGGAGTCCACGTGACTCGCCTTGTGCTTGGCTCGAGACTTTACAGGACATAGCTCGCAATCGACACCAGTGGCGCATCTGCTGCCGTCTCCTAATCGGATTGTCTGTTTAAAGTGTGTTTGGTGCTGAGTTATCTGCGGGGTGATGGCTGATTATGGAGCGTGGCAGTGAAAGCCGCAACGAAACTGTCTCGCCGTTGCGGCCTTATCTTTGCACGATAGCCAGCTGTTTGTGACGGTATGTTGTCTACACAAGGTGTAGGCGCCTTGACCTTGAATGTTTGCTTAGGGTTTTCAGGTAAGTCCCCTTCTCTCCCTCTTACTATTCTTTATTTTATAGGTCCTCATCGTTGTATGGCAGCGAAGCATCAGTTCAAAAGGCTGATGTACTGTTGATGATGATGATTTCGGCGCTAATGTTTATCGGTTCACAACCGGCTAGATTACTACGCCCTCATTCGGGTTGTGGGCGGTTACCTTTCTGGCAATACACTCGTTGTTCCTTGACCATTTCTTTCCGCCTTCCTCCTGATGTGCTTCCGTTGGACGGATAGCTGTTTACCGAAGTTACAGATCGGTCGACTGTGTTACGGAAGCGAAATTGTTTGCTCCATCAATAATCACTCGGATCTGGCAGTGGCTTACGAGGCTGTGCGAATCAGAACTTGAAAACCGCACTGATGTTTTTACCTAGATTGACAACTAAACGTCTGCTGGCTAGCCGAACAACCTCATCGTGGTGCCAGCTGGGTGGTTCGGGTTTACCCCGTTCCAACAAATAGTTCGGCGGCAGTGTTCTAGGACGTGGTGGGTTTTCGCCTGGCAAGCGTTCTCCCTATAAAATCCACAAGTATCCGTTTAACAACACTGTGACGTGGCGGATGTGACTCGCCACTAAATAAAGTCACTGCTTCGTGAATATCCGGATAATCCTTTCCAACCCACGGTCACCAATCTTTTACTCGCACATTGCCGACGATATCAAACATTCAAGAATGGAGCAGCACAATTACAAGCACAAACTGGTTGGCGGCATCCGGTTCCAGATTTGCCTGTCACTGTGGCCAGCCACAGGACGCCTGCGCCTACAGAGGGACCATGGGTGGATTGCGCTGCACCACCCACAGCTCCACCCACACACCCCATATCCAGTGTAAACCCGAAGGAATAAGACCGGGAGGCATGCGGATGGGAGCCACTTTTCATCAACGGAGCCGGCCCACACTCTTTCACAGGCAAACACAAGCACGCTGTATTTGGGAATCAAGCGCACACAAGGCGTTGGCTGGACTGTGGTCCGCTCCACACTGAGTGCATGGAACCACTCTTCGAGCCTAGCACGGCCACAAGGACCGTGCACCCCGTCCCCTCCAGCAACGACCAACTGTCTCCTGGAGCCAGTATGGACGAGGTAGTGGGTAATAGACAGGTAGGCACCTTGTCAACATGCACATCAAGCGCAGCCACACCGGGGATATCAAGCAACAGCCAAGCACCTGGAACGACAAGATGAAATAAAACAAATCCAATAATGCATACAGATACGGTGGCATAACTCTTCGCTAAATTAGCATATGAAGTAAGTTGGTTAGCAACAAATCCGCGATAAGGAAAAAATGTCCACAAGTTAGTTAAAAATGCTACAAACGCAATAAAGTTACCGAAGATAAGCGCAATCAGCGTAAGCAAGGTGGCCAGTTAAATGGAATATTATTCAGGTGGGCAGAACAAACCAAATAAAGTGGAATGAAATTTATCCAGCTTAAAAAGACCTAGTTTAAGTGTAAGTTGGTTTAGCCCAACTGCGGTGAAGAAGCATCAAGAATGCAACGTCAGCCTCAGCATGGGGCAACAAGCACAAACTACACAGCTACATACACAAACACAATTACACACCTACATACCCTCCCTACACAAACATACACCGTTATGCCAAACATGATGTTTTTGCACATTCTTTATCACGCATTGTTATGTCAAAATGATCATGCCTGTGAAGGCCTGCGTTGTCGAGAATAAAAGCTTTATTTATTTATTTATAAAATGCGTACTTCAGAGAATAGCACACACTCGAGCCAAAAATCCCCTACCACCTAGTCTCCATGGACCCCAAATCTGTGTTGCAACCAAATGACGTCCCCCGTCGACGTTCGATGCGATAAATGCCTTTGCTCATGACCGGAATCGTATCTATGTCGCAACATCTTCTTTCCCCGGTCAACTTAACGATGGGCGGATGGCTGCATCTACAGTTCTACTAGGATCTTAGCTGCATGTAGACCAAATTCACAGGCGTTGAGCTGGATTCATCCCAATCTTCTGCGCTTCGGGCTAGTACCCTAAGGGTCGAAGTCGCCAGTCACCTTTGAGTTTCCCCACATCACATTCACACAATTTTCACCAGATTTCGGCAAGGTTATTCAGGTCAACCCTATCAGATGGAAAGCGATGAATTCAGTTGGCACAACCCTAATCACCATGACAACAATAATCAAGGGATATGTACGGATTTTTATCACTCAACCGATAGTGACACAATTCGCAGTAGTAAGATGAAAGCGACTAGGAAAGGACCATCTTGCCATACGCGGGCCATCGATTACAATTCTAGTCATGTCATCTTTATGTGTTTCCAAACACCTATGCCTGATCTCCTTAGGCCCCCAAGCTGCTGAGAGCACCGCTAATTTTGCGCTTGCGATGGGGGTCATGCTTCGGCCCTTAACTCCTCCTTTTATTGTCTATTTTCATCTCCCACTGATTTGCCACTTCTAATGCATCTACAAACATTTACCTATGAACAGCTCGCTCTCACTCACGGCCTTGATTTTTGTTTGCTAGTCTATATTCATTTGGCGCCATTTGAGCACATTTCGTCGATCGCGTGTACGCGCGATGTCCATGTGAGCTCCAATGGGAATATTTCTGATCAATTGGTCACCCACTCACCGGAGGGCTTTTTACTATATCGGTTTGTCATCCTGCTTATTCTGAGTCGTTCACTGACCACAGAATCTTCATTCGTACCGCTTGCGATCTTCCATCTCTGATTGTTTTATACGAAAACTTCACATTACCCAAAAAGTTGTCTCCGAGCTTCTTCATCTTAGCAGAAAAATCTAACATCTGCCCATTCTTCTACTCTGATGTCCGAAAGCAACTAACACTATTTGGACTGCTATGGTAGTTTCTCGTTCCGTCCATATTTCAGACACCATGCATTGTGTGACACTTGGATCATCTACCCGATGGCAAACAGATGCTCCATCCATCTCTTTTTTGGTTCCTTGGTTCAAGCTGTCCTTCCTGTTTACTTCACGATTTTTCTCCCTAACTTTTCCTCCTATGATTGTGCTGCATCTTTCCAAGATTTCCGTTCATCGCTTAGTCAACTAATGCTTGCCTCTTTAGCCCCACGCCGGTCCGATCTACTTTGCCAAAGGCGCAGTGGACCGCATTCTCCAACGCTGTTCTAGTGTGCATCGACCTCTGACCGATTCACCTCTTTCCATAACCAACTATTCTTCTGGTGGGGCTATATTCGACACTTCTCCAGACTCCTCTACCTTGACCGAAGAGCACACCACTGCCATTTTGAAAGAGGCTGCAAATCTCGGGTCACTGGGGCTTCGTGTGTTGGCTTTGGCCCAAGGTTCTCATCCCGACCGGCTCATCTTCTTCGGTCTTGTTGGTCTACTTGACCCACCACGACCAGATGTGGATGTGTGTATCCGAACGCTGATCGAATCCGGAGTGCGGGTTGTCATGATCACGGGCGATTCCATGGAGACTGCGAAAGCAATAGGTGATCATTGTACCATTTTTGATGCCTTGTTGCGTTTTGTTTCGTTGTGTTTGAGTTCTATTCTGCTAGAGCGTCTTTCCCCCTCTCACTTCTAACTTTCGACGACAGCACCAACAGTTTACTAGCTACTGGCTCGTATAATTCAGGTGAGCCCCGCAAGACTCCAAAAGCATAGCTATTGGTGTATTAACGTGATCTTTGTTCGATCACTGTTATCTTGCATGTTTTTTCCATAGCACAAAAGCATGTTCCGTTTGACTATTGGCTTGGTTATACTTGGTAATGATTTTAAACTTTACAATCCTTATTTTTGGTCACACGCTATCTGGGCAGCTCATGCACAACTCGAGTGGTAAGCTGTATATAGGCCATTTCGGAGTACCGGAATGCAAACGCATACGGGTGTACCGGGACACGTGAGAACTCTGCTGCGTGTGTTCGCACTTCACACTGTATGCTGGATGGCTACGCTTCCTTCCTTATCCTCAGCTGCAGAACATGAGCAATCTGTCTTATCCGCTTCTTTATATATATATATATATATATATATATATATATATATATATATATGCTTTCCTATTGGACTATCGGTGGAGCGCTACAGCGACAGTAAAATGGAAGATCGAAAATAGATTTGGTTAATTAATCTCGCAGTACATTTGCCTTTGGATAAGATTTTGGGTCTTAGCACGCTTGTTAAACCGAAAAAAACATCGTCGGAACCAATTAGAGATAGTACGACCCGCAATCTTTTGCCAATGTGATGTCATATGAATGTCTAAACTGATGCGCTGCAACTTACGTCGTTTACTCTTTTCTTCTGTTCTCACCATCACTGCGTTTGCTGAACCATTGGCAGGTTTGCATTCGACTACGACCTACCGTAGGCTATAGTTGCTCACCAATCGTTAACAGCCACCTGCAATGTCTTCTGGGGCTAAAGGTCTTCTCAATGTCACGAGTAGAGGATTACGTTCATACTCCTCCCCCCCCCCTGAACAATTAGCGTCTGTGATCTTGAGGAAGTTGTTGCGGAAATAAGTCCTTCAGGAACAAGCGCTTATTCAGCAAAGTCAATTCAGTGCAAGTTTACGCTATGTTTCGTAAGCCAAAGTCTTCGATATTAATTGTCCGTTCAAGTCCTTAACTAACAACCCTTATGTGCCGATGAGATACCTCCTTTGACTCAGTTAAACGAAAAGTGACTAATTTCAGATAGCTTGAGGGGCGACCGGTTAATGTATTTGTTATACTGCACAACGTTTCGCTTTTGACTCAAAGCTTCTTCAGGCGAAGTCAAATGTTTGACCTTGTAAAGTATAACAAACAAGTATACCTGTCGTCTAGCAAGCTTTCTGAAATACCGGCTTCCCGATCGGTCCCAAATATATTCCACGATATCAAATGGTGACTGACTCACACGTAGTGACCGAATCCGTTATTTACGTCCCCCATTAGCTTGCTCGTTTGATCCCTCCGTTCACTCAGATAGGACACACTCATCACAGAAGAGACCGCTTGCCCTAACTGAAAGCGCAGGGGCGCCCTCGTTTTTCTTAATCGTTTAAAATGCCGCAGGGTTCATCTAGTAATCTTACTTGCTTGCCTGCAGTCCACTGTTGCCGAACGTGTCCTGCAAGGTTGATGGAGAGACAGAAAATAATTTTGTTCGAGCACCAGGCGTCCGATTCAATACCCACACCTTCAGTGACTGGTTGCTTCAAGGTATACACAATCCTGCAAACTGTGAGCTTTTATGCACCGTTCTGTTACACACTAGCCTCCGAGCACTACATACATCGTTTGTCACCCGACCCGAGGCACTCGGTCGCGCCTGGTGGGGCAGTCCGCCTACATTGACTCTGATGTTTGAGGAGGGATCATTACTTTTTCTGTGCGCAAGCTTGACACACAGCAGTCTTGTTTATTCACTGGCAATTTCCGGTGCCATGCAGATCAAACTTTCTGTGTTCACCCTACCTTCCTTATCTTTAGCGTCGTCAGCTGTGCAATGTTGGATGGTTATTTTTTTCATCCTACCCTATTTCCCTTATCGTTTGCCCTAAGCAAATACTATGCTTTAGGATTGCTTGTTACCCTTTTCCTCGCAAGTACTGAGCAACGACTCGGAGTCATCAATCGGCCCACACTTGATTTGTCGACTGGGCCGACGGAATCACTGAAGAGGTTAGCGCGCATGCATTGGTAGGACTCATGTGTTTTTCAGCGTCTCCATTTGTTGTAAAGCTGCCTTCATACTGCTGCTATTCTGCGGCTGCGAAACTGCGACCGTCTGATTGCTCAGGCACGCGCCCAACCAACCGACGGGATACAGAAGGCTAAGGCTCGGTAAACAGGGTGTCTATTCTACACGACATGTCAGTTCTATTATTGGTGAACGAAACATACTAATTTTGGAAGCGTTTGGCTCTCAGCCAATGTGAGTTAATTCCGTCCCACGGATTTTCCATATTTGGCAGAATGCTTCGCCTCCGTTGACTCGGGCTTGTATTTACTGGCCAATCAGTTCGCACCCGAATCCCAAATTTGGCAAAACAATCGAAGGTCGTTCCACGCTCGTGCTGGTGACCTTCGCATGCAGCAGACAGCTCACGTGCTCCGCGGTACGCCTATGCGCTACATCCTATCTGGACATTGGCTCCGCTTACCTCTCTATTACCACTCTACATGGGTGAATACTTGGAGCTATTATTGGTTGATCATTCTAGTGCATGGCGTGGCAAGTTTCGTATCAATGTATGTGGATGACTGCATGATCACTTTCTCGCTGACGGCATCGATACTCTGCGTCTTTGATCAACAGCGCGCGCGTCGCATTGCTTATTTCTGGTGACAGGAACAATCGATGAGTGAAACGTAATCGTGGTGCCAAACTCACAATAGCTGACGTGCGTTTCTCGCCTTCACTTAACGTGTACTGATGATGATGATGCCAAACCCTCTTCGGAGCATCCGTGCTCCTTCACATTGCCTAGATCATCTCTGTCATCCATCCATCGACAACATAGCGCTGTTATGCGTGCTGTTCTCCCCCCACAGTGTTGCTTCATCACTAGGTGGAACGGGCATGCAGAGGCAGATGCGCTCCACCAACCCATCGGTAGTCGGCGACCCTGTCAGACGTGGTGTAGCCGCTGTGTTTTCATACAACTTTACCATCGAAATGCTCATGCGTGACTCAGTTCTTTTGGACTCTACCGGAGTGGAAGTTCTGCCAAGTGACCGACCGAGAAACCTGGAGTATGCGGACGACATAGCTTTTCTTGAGTCTGATGCAATGGCTACACAAACACTGCTGCATAGACTGAGATGTAGCGCTGCACGCTTCAGCATGTCTTCTGTGCTTTCAAGGTGCGGAATACTGCTTCAGAACTGGACCGACACACCCGGTTCTGTCTGTCACCGAACAGCCACTGGAAGTAGTGAGTCGGCTCACTTACCTTGGTAGCTGTGTCACTTGGGGTGGTCACATCACTGAGGAAGTTACTTCGCGTATCAGCAAGGCCTGTGTGGCTTTCCAGAGACTCAACTATTTATAGAGACGGCGAGATACCAGCATTTCATTGAAATTTAGGGTCTACAACACTTCGATTAGACCGGTGTTAGTGTATTAATCAGAGACTTGGTCAGTTCACAGTGAGGACTTTAGACGCTTGACCGTGTTTGACCACCGGTACTTGCAGAGTATTGTTCACGTCTGATGGGAACACCGGGTGAGCAATGCTAATGTGCGCCAGTTGGTTTTTGGCAAAAAGCCTTCTGGTTACTTACTCGAGTGTTTACCGAATTTTGACCGCTTACGTTGGCTTGGCCATGTCCTCCGCATGCTCGTTGACCGGTTTCCTCGACTTACAGTGTGCGCCGTGACTGCACCAAGTTTGGCGAAGCCACGAAGTGGCCAGTCCATGACGTGGCATAGAGGCATGAAGAAATTGGCTAAAGGACGATCTGGCTGGTGCATGCCGTCTTCTTGGATGGGGGCTGAGGATGCTCCACACCAATGGTTGGAGATTGTATCAGACATGACGCAGTCGTGCAGTAAGTGCCGTTCCTGCATTCGACTCCTTGCATCCGTTTGTTAATTTTCGTTCTATTCTGATTAGGTTACAGCCCTTTCTCCTTGCTTCCATTTTCTTTACATTCAATTTGCCTTTAGCCCCACTACCTTGCCCTTGTTATCTCTTGTTATTCTTGCAACGTGAGTCGTGGCAACTGAATCCACCGCACTTCTGTGCTCGTATCATAATTGTACAACTAACCTCCTGTTGATCGTTCTATCCCACAACTATACGCTTCTTTTTCCCGAACTACTTTCAGTATGTTGTACGTGCATACCCGTCATTGTTCTTCTCTTTGTCCGTTTTTCTGCCCATTTTACACCTGTTACATTCATGGCGATGGGCGCCATAGCAACGGGATCCACTACACTTTCTTGCTTGGATCGCAAATGAAATGTCTAATGTTCCGAAGCATCTATCACCCTTGATATGCCAGTGTGCTGCTCGTGGTTTTTCCTCCTGTCTATCGGCAGCTAATTACTGAGAGCAGATTGTCGACTTTATTTGCAGATCCTCCTGCACCTGTGGGAATATACGGACACCATGCTTCGCCGCATTACTTGTCAATGTTGGCATTTATGCGACATTTTCCCCTCATTTGTACTCGCTGATTGGCATGTGCACCTTGCCGATCGCCTCTGATCTTGCCTATTTGGGTCTACTGGTTTTCTACTTATTTGGCCAGTTTTACCAAAAAACGACTTACTCCTCTTCTGTCCACCCTCTACTTCTTGTTCTCCTTTGATGTTTGCTCAGGATCACGCTTGTCCTTGTACCGCCCTGGTGACTATTGCCTCAGCGGCGAAGAAGTCGATCAGCTCAGCCTGGCTGCGATGAAAACGCGCGTGCGCAATGTGACCATCTTCTACCGGTCTGGACC